AAAGCTCTCTATTACCCCTTCAAATCCAAAAATACAGAGATATCTGCACAATGCATTTGTGTATGTCTCTGTGACCTATTTTAATTGGAAACACTTTATTAAATGATTATTGTTTGCCTCCCCTCACAGACTTCCTTGAATATGGGATCCATTTCATTCTGGTTTTGCTATAATTTGAAATTTTTTCTCTTGATTAGATTAAAATTAAGTATCTCTGGCAAAAACCAATTACCTAGGAGATACTGTCTTTTCAGAGGGAAGCTGCACCTCAGGGCTCCTTGGCTCACCCATGAGTGCATGAATCTTGTTTGCTTGCTTGTTTATTTTTAAAATTTATACTCAGGTCTTGGCTTTAATTTACAAGTCATTTGGGTTATAAGCAGATAGTTAAAATAGTTAATAGCCACCCAGCCATATAATGGTCATTGAATTTGATGCTAAGATTCAAGGAAAGAAAAACAATCTGTTAAAGAAAGTAAATTCTAGAATGTTGCTGCCCAAGACAGAGAAAATTGCAGAAGAAATTCGTGTCCTGGATTCCATAGGGTGTTTATCTGAGAACCCTGGAGGAACAGGACTCTGCACTATGGTCCTCCCACAGACAGCGCATTGGCAGACATCTCTATGAAGAAACTGGCACAGAGTATTTCATGCCTTGGCCAGAGGATCCATGTTCTGGATGCATATGACAGCAAAGAAGCCCCCCTGCTGCTTTTGTTGGCCTTTTTCTTGTTTGCTCACTCTGAGTTGGGGTGGTCTTATGTAGCCCCAGCTGTCCTCTATCTCTAAAGTACTGGAAAAGCAACTCTGCGCCACCACATCATGTTGGATTCAAAGATTCTTGGCCACATGTGAGTTTCTTACTTCTGTGGTACAGAGATTTTCATATAGATTTTGCATTATATACAGACCATACATATATACTTCCGAAGTCAGATAAAGTAGACCCTACATTATACACAGAATATGGATATGTGGTATATATTGTGTATTTATAGTCAGATAATAGTGAAACTGTCTTGAAATTGAGCAAAAGATCTACTTTATTTAATTCTGAAACTAGTATTGGCATACAGGAAAAAAACAGAAACAAATCAAAAGGGTGTTGGGAAAAGTTAATGTCTCCATGCAAAGGGCTAGCCATTTTCTTCAGAAATAACTCCACCAGTCTCTTTTCTTCTTTTTAAAAAATTTTTATTAAGAACTTTTCTATTCATTTTACATACCAACCACAGATGCCCCTCTCTTCCCTCCTCCCCCCCCCCAGCCTTCCCCTGCAACCCACCCCCCATTCCCACCTCCTCCAAGGTAAGGTCTCCCCATGGGGAGTCAGCAGAGCCTGTTACATTCAGTTGAGACAGGCCCAAGCCCCTCCCCGCTGCCCCAAGGCTGCAAAAGGTGTCCCATAGTAGGCACTCAGCTCCAAAAAGTCTGCTCATGCACCAGGGATGGCTCCTGATCCTACTGTTTGGGAGCCACCAAAACAGTTCAAGCTAAACAACTGTCTCCCATATCTATAGGGCCTAGTCCAGTCCCATGGGGGCTCCTCAGCTATTGGTCCACAGTTTATGAGTTTCCACTAATTTGGCTGGCCATCTCTGTACATTTTCCCATCATGCTCTCAATGTCCCTTGCTCATAGAATCCCTCCTCTGCCTCATCGATTGGACTCCTGGAGCTCAGCCTGGCACCATGAATCTCTGCATCTGCTTCCATGAGTCATTGGATGAGGGTTCTATGATGACAGTTAGGGTATTCACTAATCTGATCACCAGAGTTGGCCAGTTCAGGTACTCCCTCAACTATTGCCAGTAGTCTAAGATGGGGTCATCCTTGTGGATTCCTGGGGACTACCCTAGCACCATTTCTCTCTATTCCCATGATGTCTTCATTTATCATGGTGTCTCTTTCCTTGCCCTCCCACTCTGTCCCTGTTCCATCTTGAACTTCCCATTCCCTTATGTTCTTATCCCCCATCCCTTGCCCTCCATTACCCCCTCTCACCCACAGTTTGCTCATGTAGATCTCATCTATTTCACTTTGCTGGGTGATCTATGCATCCCTCTTAGGGTCCTCCTTGTTAGCTAGCTTCTCTGGAGCTGTGGGTTGCAGTTTGGTTATCCTTTGCTTTACATCTAGTATCCACTTATGAGTAAGTACATACTATGTTCTTCTGAGTCTGGGTTACCTCACTCAGGATGATATTTTCTAGTTCCATCCATTTGCCTGCAAAGTTCATATCATTGTTTTTATTGCTGAGCAGTACTCCATTGTGTATATGTACCACATTTTCTTTATCCATTCTTCAGTTGAGGGGTATCTAGGTTGCAGTCTTGAATTCACTAGCACAGGAGACCACTTCCTAAATATAACACCAGTAGCACAGACACCGAGAGCAACAATTAATAAATGGGACCTCCTGAAATTGAGAAGCTTTTGTAGGGGAAAGGTCATGGTAAATAAGACAAAACGACAGCCTACAGAATTAGAAAAGATTTTCACCAACCTCACATCTGACAGAGGGCTGATCTCCAAAATATATAAAGAATCAAGAAACTGGACGTCTTAGGGTCCTCTTTTCTAGGTAGCCTCCCTGGAGTTGTGAGTAGCAGTTTAGTCATCCTTTGTTTTACATCTGGTATCCACCTATGAGTGAATAAGCCTCTGTGTTTACTTGAGTGACATGAGTGGGAGAAATTTGTTTCGAATGCTGGCCAGCCGGGACATAGGAAAACTTCCAGCTACATGTCATCATTCATCGTAGTGCATTTTGGATTTAGATATATCTCTATCTATCTATCTATCTATCTATCTATCTATCTATCTATCTATCTATCTATCTATCACCTATCTATATTAGGTATTTATGCAACACATTTTCTTACCACACTGAATGTGGACTGTACCCTGTTCTTGTTCCTATGCTAGCATCTTTGACTTCACTTATGACCTTTTTAAGGCTGGGGAAGGGCCTGAGAATTCAAACCATTAAGTTCCTAGATGCTGATGTAGGACAAGGCTGTGAGCACCAATGACTCAATCCAGCCATATCTGCTCATCTGGGTAGATGCAAAAGTATGGTAGAATTTTAAATAGCTAAAATATAAAATCTAAAAATTCTCAAAAAATATTAAATGGAGAAATGCCTCAGCTCTTGAGTGGAGGACCTGAATTCCAGCAATCTATGTCAGGAGGCTCACAAACACCTGTAATTCCATCCCCAAGGGATCTAATGCCTCTGGCCTCTAATACCTCCAGACCTGTGCCCTGGAGCTGAACAGTTTCAGGAAAGGGGTTCTGGTTTGTCACTGTCCCCGTGATATCTATACTCTTATACTTGCCTTGTCATGTGTCATAACCCCATGGCCTAGAGTGTGTGGTGTAGTCACTAGACTGCTGCTCATAGCACTGGTGAGGACACTTACTGAGTGAGCCTCAGTCTCCTGTGCTTCTATTATTAACAAGGGTACAGCAGAATCTGAGTGACATTATAGCAGCTATAATCTTTGCTATGCTCATTTCTTTAAAATAATTCACCAACTTTGGTATTAATAGCACTAACCAGACATTATCTTGAATTTGACCACCACACAGCAAAGTTGAAAACACCTAAGAAATTTATGATCTCGTTTTCTGCCATGAATCCTGGCATATGGTGGGATTAACAAGTGATAAAACCACTGAACATTTAAGCATGAAACTTTAGTGTATAAGAAATATGAGAATATGAAGCACTTTGAGTTCAAATAGTTAATTGTAAGCAACTGTATATTCACAAAAAGATAAAAGTGTGAAAATGTGTTATGCAAGTTTACTTGAGGAAAGCATAAAATGTGAACATTTGGATGTATCATTTCTCAGACAGGAACTGAGACAAAAACTACCATGACCAAAAAAATGACCACTTCATGCCGCTGGCTTTCAGCTTCCAAACTGCCCTCAAATGTCTTTGTCTGTGCAGACTGAGAGTAAGACTAGGCTAGGGCTAGCTATTAGGGAAACAGACTAGAGAAAACACACCATCAAAGAGAAGGGGCAGGTTAAAGACCCTGCAAAAACCAAGAACTATTAGAGTAGGAAAGAAGATACGCTGCTTTGCAGAGAAAGTTCTTGCTCTATAGGGACCCGACTGACACCTTGGAAAACACATGATTCACATCTCCGAATCTAAACTCTAAATTCTAGAGCTTCACAAGTGCTAGATGCACTGCTAGCTACATGTTCAGACACACATGTGCATTTGCAGGTACAAGAGCCGGTCTCTCTCAGATGGAACCTCAGATGGACAGGTGTACATTTAGATGGCCATGAGACATGTGTGGCCTCAGCCATAAGTGGAGGTAAGTGGTTAGAAAAATAATGTGTTTGCCAACCCAGCTGACTCTTGGCTACAATTTCCTCCAGAACCTTGTGTCTTCTTTGCCTGGGATGTAGAGAATAAATGAAGTGGCAAAGAAGAAGAGAGCCCTTGCCATGGGCCTCAACCTGAATACCAGCCCTCTGGGGTTCATGGCAGAGTGTATATATCTCCACATTGCTGAAAAAACCTCACTCTTAAGTTCTTAGAAACTTTTCTGGGGCTGGCTCAGGGATAAAAGAGCCTGACAGCCTGAGTTTGATCCCCAGAGTCCATGTAAAAGCTGGTTACAGTAGTAGCAGCAAGTGTCTGTATCTCAACATGCCCCTATGGAAAGAAGGGAAGGATCTATACACATGCATGCCTATGAACATGTTCTCCCCCAACACACACACACACACACACACACACACACACACACACACACACACACACACACACACACACACAGAGTAAGTTAAAAGAAAAGGTACTTGACTTCTACATGACTGTTCAGAACCACATTCCCTACAAGGCAGGTCTGGAGACCTTACTGAACACTTGCCCCAACACAACCTGTCCCATTATCAAGAGATAATGAAGAAGCCTATAGAAGTGCATGATAGGAACAGCTTTATCTACAATAAGAAATTCTGATGACTGGATTAAGTTTAAACACTTTAATCAACTATAACAAATCAATTATCATATATAAAAATTCTGACTCATGCATCAGATTACATAAATTATACAACTGTCACATTATACAATGTTTATATACTTTTGTACCTGCAAAAATGTATATGAGTTACTAAGCATTTACTTAAGAAGGTAGGGGTAATACTCTTCGATTATAAATAATGCTTACATCATTCAAACACTTGCTAGGAACATTTGTAGATCTGCAGCATCTTTTTTTATTCCTCACAATACATACAATCTAGAAGCTCCAGAAATTAAAAGGCTCAAATGTACCATTAGGTAACAGATTTCAAGTTCATTGTAAGGGTTGATTTTTTTTTTTTTTGACAGAGAAAAGTAAATGAAATAAAACGTCAACTTTAGTTTAATGCTTGAAGAACTTCTACACATCTTATTAAATACATCAGGAAGCCCTTCATATGCAGATTAATTAGTGAAGGTGCTACCTATTGCATATTAAATACTTCCAAGGACAGCATCTGGATTATTAAAGTTATAGATCTGTGAAAATGGGGGCTTTCGGTATGTGCTGACAGACCCTCTCCAGCACCACTAGGAGCTTGCAGTGCAGTCTTTCCCTCTGTTGGAAAGAGATCAAATGACTGGGCATGCTCACACCTCACCCATACACGAGTGACACCTACTGCACCTTCAGGAAGATGAGCACACAGATGGCAAGGAGTTTACGCCTGCTTCCCTAATCCAAGGTAAGCTGCTTTTATGTTTTAGGGGAAGTAACACTATCCAGGAAAGCAAAAGCTTTAGTGTAACAGTTACTATAGATACTTAGCGTCAGCAAGTCTTCCTTTTTATTTTTCATTTAAGATTCTCCTTGTCAAGAATAAGCACTCACATGGGGTGGGGGTTGGATGCAGCAGGAGTGGGTAGGATGGTAATGGGGACATGAAAAAGCAGGGCTGTCACTAATGAGCTTATTTACTTAGGTTTCCACTCATGAAACCCTTTTAAATACAAGGTGACATTTTCACAGCTGGAAAATTACAACTAGATCTTGATTTACTGCCAAAAGCAACACACGTAGTTATGTATAATCTATGAATGATGCTACATTCATGGGAGGAGAGAAAAACTAGGGTCGATGCAGAACACAGCAGCAAAAGGCAATGCTTCCAACACTTACACCAATGGTCTACACAGCATCTTATATACAAGTCTAAGCAATGACCTTGGTGTTCGAGGAGCGACACTTACGTCTCAGTAGACAGGTGATGTGGTAATACTGTCGCTGAGTTTAGAACTGGGAAGAGACTGGTTGTAAAATACTGTTGTTGTTTCAAGAAATAGTTTAATTATGTAACAGAAGTGTGTTAGCTTAAATCAGGCTTGAGAGAAGTGTTGATTCTGTGATTTTAAAAAATCTTCTTGTCAGTAGAAGTGATTTTGAGCATGTATTTTTAAGCTAAAAGTAGAAATAAAATGTCCTTAAAAATCTATTGTGCATGCACTGTTTACTGAAGCATACATTTTATTTCCACTTCTAAGTTAATAAAAAGGTAAACCACTAGAATATTCTGTGTCACACTTGGAAAATGAACCAATCACCTTCCATACCCTCTTTCCTCAGTGCCCGGCTCCCACTTACACTTAGGCACCACACACGCTGTGTTCACTTGTTCACTTCTAGGTTTATTGTGTTGTCTGATGATGAAAGCATTAAGTTCATGAGTGAACACAACAGTTTACAGAGTGTAAATGGCTACTTTTTATTTGTCTTCGACTTTTGTTTTTAATTTAGGAACAATAATCATTCCTCAGATAAACCTCACTGCCTACAAGACTGCCACTGGACAAAGCTTCATTTCAGATTCTGAAGAGGCAAAGATCAGTTCAGCCTGGCCAGTCACTAAGGGCAGATGAGTACACACACATGGATTCTTATGGAGGCAAAAACTACCATATAACTTAGTCCTCATAAAAGGAGGAAAGGCATTGGAACCATGCTTTTCAGATGAGACTTATGGAAGACTTACTCCCAGGATAGAGTCAGCAGACAGCTCAAGGTCACTCTAGAAAGGACGTACCTGGCTCACGCCTGTCACTGCACCTGCAGACATCCGTCACACACTGAAAACACAGGTCTGGGTTCTTTAAAGAGTCTCAACAATGCCATGATGAAAATATGCTAAGAATTTTAAGAATTTGGTAACATCTAATAAATGTTAATTTTTAAATGGCACCATTTAAAAAATAATATTTACCAAGATCTCACATGGGAAAATCAAATCTACACTAGACTTTGAAGTTTATTACAGAATCACTTTAATTATAAGTAGAAGGAAAATTGATTTTAAAGGCCATTTTTCCTTCTCTATTTTAATTTTAGAAAAGTATCTAAGTTTGTATTTGGGAAAAAATTCACTTCAAAACCCATGTTTTCTAGAAAACCACAGAAACTCAGAAAATACAGGTAACAAGGGATTTTGTGACTAAAAAATATGAAAATCAGCAAAACTATAACCTCTGCTTTCATTTAACTTTCAGTGAAGTCTTACTAGAGATAAATATCAGAAAAATGCAATTCACTACAGGGCTCGAGAATATCCTCAGTATCAGTCTCTGTATGCAGGCAGTCTTTTCATTCTCTATTTAAAAAGTCAATCTGTTTCAGAGTGTTTAGATCTGAAAGGTTAAAATACCAGCAGAAGATCAGCAATATTCTTTTCTCATTGCTTTTCATTTTAAATTTCAGGATAACTTTCTACAAATACTTCCAGCTGATCCACAGAGGGACCACCATTCTATGGAGGCGGGCTTAAATGAAGAGCCCGTAATTGGGTGACAAAACAGTTCCTAAGGGTGGACGTGGGGTGCTCCGTGTTGTGACGCTGGTGAAGGGCTGTTCTCAACACTCACTGCCAGTGAGTTTCTGATTCAGGGCTCAAAGGCAACCATCTGTTCTACTACTAATGAAATTGAAACCAAGCCCTTCATTCCTAGAACTTGCCGTTGCCTTGGGTTATCAGGCAACGGACGACCAGCCCCCATCCCCAGCTCATTTTCAGTATAACTTTGTTGTCTTTGTTCATGATCTACAGTAGAAAAACTGTCCTAGCCTATCTCCTGCTTATACTTCCCATAAACTCAAACACCAGAGCACTGGTTGAAGGAATCTATGCTTCTGCAGAAAGAATAAAGAACCCTAAATTTTGTCATTCCTTGAAAAAACTTGAGATCATCACATTTTGGGGCACAGGACTTTTGGGGAGGGGTGATGTTGGAGGCTGGAGGTGGATGTAGTGAATCCCCTCAAAATCAGGGTTCAAAAAATCAGAAGTGGATTGAAGCAGCTTAGCCACTGGTGGTCCTGGTGACAAGCAGTCCTGGGTGTATACTGCAAAAGCGCATATTAAACTATAAGATTGGTGTCTTAACCTTAGAGGCAACCACTTGTTTTTAAATGTCTTAAAAACACATGTGTATATGAGGTATATGCATGTACTTTATACACAGAGACACTCAAACATACATAGTCATAGATATATGAGGAACCTGGCTTTTTTTTTTAGTAGTGTTTTATAATGAGTAGTGTTCCTGATGCTAAATGTGTCTGGACTGACTTCTAAGAATCCAACAATAGTATCAATTCTGCTTTATGGAATCTATTCCTGAGGAATAACTCATGGGATGTTGAAGATATTTCCAGGCCTATGGCAGACAAGGGTCCAGAACAAGCACCCAAGTGATGCCACAGAACTCTTCACTCATCAGGACATGGCCCGTTCAGAGTCTAGAGTGATTCACTCACTACAAAGGTCACTCTAGATAATACCTGTGAATATGTATAGGACCAACAACACCTTTCCTAATGATGGAGGGGAGGAGGTGAAACCTGACAGCGTGGTCTCCTCCAGTAACACACTCCTCCCTTCCTCCTCATCCCCTCTCACTCTCTTCTCAACTAGGAATACAGTCCCGCTGTCTCCACTAGCTATTGGTGAACTTGCCAGCTTTCCTGGATGGCTCGTAGGGCACTCGCAGGATGCTGGGTGTCTCCTCCATCACCCTGACAAGGAGGTTGTCAATGTAGTCCTCTAGTTCCCGGATGTGGGTGTCCTTCCTCCGAAGAAGTTCTTTGTGCTTCACCAGCTCCTGCAGCACCTCTTCATAGGTCAGACTGCGGTACCCAGCCGTGGCATCGAAAGGATTGTTGTCCTGTAATGAAATGCAGACTTGCTTTAGCAGGCAGGACGCAGGGACAGACATTAAGAGCTACTCAGAATTTCATCTTCTGGTTTTGCTGAGGCTGATAAAGTTTCTTTCCAGCCATAGATAGAAACAGGGTGTCAGTTCTCAGGTGCCAGCTAGTTCCACAAAGAAAAGAGAGCAGACAGACGAAGCCTGATTCAACTCTGCACCGGAAATTCCTTCTTACACTGGAAACAACTTCCAAGTGCAGAGCCTGTCCATGCCAGTGAGGATGAAACCACAACCAGAGGCTGAGGTATGGCTCAGTGGCAGAGTACTTGCTTAGCATGCAGAAGGCCCTAGGTTCCATCCTCAGCATGCTAGAAGGAATGGATGGCACATGCTCTATAATTTCAAACTACAAGTTAGCCAATGTAATGAAAATAGGTTAAAACTAAACATCTGTAGAGATTTAGACAAAGGACTGGCAAGAATCTTTAGAAACTATACATATAGACACTGCCCATACAGACACTGTGTTCACAGAATCATTCCACTAAATTCAGATTCCTACTTCCACCTGGGCTTTTTACTGATGATGGCTGTGAGAAACAGAAATACAAACCTGCTTCTCTAATTTGTTGAAAATGATGAAGGCACCTGGAACTAAACCAATGATCATGGTCCATGGACATAACTTCTATCTTAGCTGATCAGCAAGGTGAGCTTTTTTCCCTGAGTAATGGATTTTTCCATTTCCCATAAACAACATTCATTTGTTTGATGTTGTTTCCATTTTTTTCTCTGTTATCAGGAAGCTCAGAGCTCAGCTACAGCCACATGAATACTATGGTCAGGACAGCTATATGGCCTCTCATCTCACTTATTTATTTAGCTAACAATGTTCTAGTGGCCAAAAAACAAAAAAAATCAAGCAAAAGCATAAACATAATTAAAAGATATCCTTCCTTTAACTTGTTTTATTTTAACAGTGTTGTGACAACAAAATCTGAGGAAAACAACTTGTGAGGATGAAGATGGGCCCTGTAATACTCCCTAGATCCCAATGCCCTGGGATTTAGATCTCCACTGTGTATATATCTTGATACAAAACAGCACATTTTATGCCTTGAAAATACAGTTCTATCCCTAAACCCAGCAATTTAGGATGATTTGCATCACTGTTAGCCAAAACACTTCCATTTTGCTTTAAGAAAATCAACTAAAATATGAAGAAAACTAGTTTTCTTGTTCCTAAGGCTGGACTCAGTCTGTCCAGCAGAGGATGGGTGAAGCCTGGGAAATGCAGAAAGAGGCTTGTTCTCCCATCTTCAGCATCCTCTTTGACTGTTATGTGTCTGGAACTTTTCCATTAAAGCCAAAGCCAGAACTTCACCATATACTCCTACTGTGAGACCCCAGGCAGAAGCTAGAGTGACATCCCAGTCATCGAACGTGCCCCCTTCTCCCCAGATATACACACTTTAGGCTGAGAAGCTTCTCAAATACCCAAGGCCTCAGGGCTCAGATGGTGACAGCCTGCTACACTCTCTAGACAGAAATGGGCAGTGTGATGGGCATGGGCAGTTAGCAAACAGGGCTCAAGATCTAGTGGCCTACCACAGGCCAGAGAGTCAAGACCAGAAAACAAGTAAGAGAGGCTCTGGTGATACCCACTGCACCATCAAGCATGGGCAGTGTCATCCTTGAGGACCTCTAGCATTTTTCCTAAATGAAAAATACCACTGAAGGTTTCTAAGCAGAAATAAATCACTTCTTGGCTTTTCTGCTATGATCAACTGTAAAGCAGAAATATCTTTGAGGCAATGTTCCAGGAAACCAATATGACAACTATGGGTAAGATTGTCTGGGGGAGCAGAGGCTACTTCCAGAGTTATTAAAATACTGAAAACATGAATTTGGATGCTATAAAAACCTTAACCACCTCCATAACGCCATGATAAAATATGCAAAGAATTTTTAACATTTAATAAATGTTCATTTAAAATGGCACCACTTAAAAAAGAATATTTACCAAGATCTCAAACAGGAAAACCAAATCCTTTACTAGATATTGAAGTTTATTATAAACTTACTTTAATCATAAGTCAATAAACATAATATTTAAGAGAAGTGGGTTTCAATTCTGAGAAATACTTTAAACAACTTATTTTATTTTCCCTTAGCAAATAGGAAACTTTCTGAATTAAATTACTTGTGCCCCACCGTTTCAAATGCTGGTCTTATAAGAATAATTCTGAGGTAAGTGCTAGCTGCCTCCTGTCTTGGATCAGCTAAGCCTATAACATAGTGTATTGGTCATCATTTGTTTAGAGGTAATTATAAATTTGTTAATTATATTCTCATAAAATATACATTGTATTATGCATTTTTCTATAGTAAATACAAGACAAATTATAGAGATATTTTTGATTTGTCAGAAATAAGATAATCTTTGTACCTTAGCACAAGTACTAGTGTATAAAAATGAGGCCAGAGTCTCACAGCCCTTATTTGGCGAGTTATCTCCAACCCCTTCCAACTCCAGAATTCTGTTATCTACTGACTAATTTTTTTTCTGAACTTCATTTTAAAATAATAAAGTCCAATTTCTATGATTTTACTTCTCTAACAAAATATTTACTGGAAAATCTGAGAATCATGGGGCCCATGAAATTAAACTAAATGGGCTATGTTACTTACAGGTTGCCAGATTTATGTTGTTGTTGTTGTTTTTTAATGAATTTAACATAATGGCATCTGTTAAAACTCTCTAATTTTAATCAAATTATATATAAATACAATGATTTTTCAAATTACAAGTGATGGCATACATTAAAAATCATTCACATGGTTACATTTAATACTGCACTAATAATACTGGTTTACGTCGTTAATATTTTAACATTTATTTAAGGAAGATAAATGACATATTAAAATGTTCCATTATAAGTGGTCTAAATGCCAGGACAAGACTCATCTTAGTCTCACAGGATCACCATTATTTATACTGTTCAATACTTCACAGCCAGAATGAACAATACACACACATATTCTTTAGCTCCTTCACCCTAGTCTACTTCCTAGAAATGAATTTCTGTTATTAGTAAAGTTTTCCTGTCTTCTTTTCAAGTGGATATTTTACCTAAAATTCAGCCTCAGGTTTCTGAACAGGAAAACACCTTAGAGACACGTGTACTATAAACTACACTCTGGGAAAGAATAAAAATAATTAATATAGCTCAGCTGTGGCTCCAGATTTTACTCAATATTTGAAAACCATGCAAATTTTCTAATTTTAGGCTTAAAGTTCTTAAACTGACATATTACTACACACACACATACACACACACACACACATTTATAACTTCAAAGGAAGCAATAAAGATTAATATTAACTAATATAAACAATGTTAAAATGTTTTCTGGTTACAAAAAATAGTTTGCTTAAAGAGGAATAATACTCTCAAGCAAACACAGAAACAGTTTTTCAAAGGTACATTTACTAATATCTAGGAGAACCTGAAAACTCCAACCTTGAAACCGGGAGAGAGCAAATGCAGACTGCAACAGGGCTACCACGACTTCAGTATTCATCCCCACATTTCACAGCACACGTTTTAAGTGGTTTTCCTATTTTGAAATTTAATATAAATTTTCCTTGTCTCTTTTCTTTCACAACTAATCCTTTCTCTTCTCTACTTCATGTCTGCTAAAAGCAAAGTCCCTTATACAGACACAAAGATGGAGGACTGGGTAAGAGAGGAACAGTCCTCTATGAAGTTTTTAATCAGAATGTTAAATAATAGTAAGAGTCATGTGGAAGATTCTCAGAATTATTAGCTATTTTTACCTTACACACAATCTAGTCTTTTAAACTAGGATATATATACATATATATATACATATATATATATGTAAATTTTACAATATTTAAATCCAGACAAAAGCAAATTATCATGACTCAAAATAACTGAAGATATAAAGAAAGGTTGTCCTGGTAACCAAATATTGGTGGGGTTCTAAGTGACATCCAAGGCGACTGGGGGAGAGAGAGGGAGGAGATGAAGGCCTGGTGTTCTCGGATCATCTCATTATTGTCTAATGAGGAACTCTGCTCTGGGAACATCATCTCAGCTACTTTCACATCTTTTGTCCTCCTCTCTTCATCTCCCTTTCAGTTCTTAATTAGGCCTTAAAGAGCTCACACTGCCCTTTCAACTGGCTACTGCTCCTGCCTAAACACCGAGCCTGCACAGACAGGTGTTGGCACCAGCATAGCCGACATACAAACCTAATTACACAATACTCCGTCCAGAAGGAGAGAAAATAACTTGGTGGATGGCTATTACTAGAGAACTTCATGTAAATTACTTCAAACATCTTATAATCTTCAACACAAAAATTGTTCAAATACGTCTCCTGAAAACTAGTCTGTAAGGACACTTTCTCCTCTTAATTGTATCTTGCAGTACATTAGCAACACCTAGTAATCCTTTAACTGTCATTTAGAATAGTTAGATTCCAGAGAAAAATAATCACACATCAAGGATTCTTTTATCACCTTTAAATCCTTGAACTAAAACAATTTTCACATTTTATTCTTTAAAGATTTCTGAGGATGTTTTAACAGCAATAAATTATAAGATTTGGAAAAATATATCTACAAGCACACAGAAATTGTAATTAAGGTTACCTAATAAACAATAGCTACATATTAAATTGATTTTTGATGTTGCATTTTGTTTGAGATTAAGTAACAGCCCAGTAGAATTCATTTCACTATCTGATCAAAGGCTGACTTCATATAATCTGACATTGCTTCAAGACTGCCATATTATAAAGACTTAAGTATTTATGAAACATCAAAACTTAAAAATCATTTACATAAAATAGCAAAAGCATTATCTAAAGTCTGTGCATCTGAAGTGTTTTCTACCATTCTTTAGACACACATCTGCACTTAAAATGGTTTATAAAATAAACTGTAACCCCACCTTGATTTCTTTTAGACAAACAATATACTGGAAATTGTAATATGCAATTGCTAGAAAATATTTAAATACATCTGGATCACACACATTAAGGACAGATGGTTGAAACCACCGGCCTCTTTCTGTTACTTAGTAAGAATGTAGTTTTCCAGTAAGAATAACTGCCTTCATTTTTATAACGTGATTTTTCTCCAGGTCAACATACTTAGAACACTCAGATGCAACTGAACTTTCCTGTACAATGCTGAACTTCAGATAACAATAAAACAAAGTCAAACTATCTCAACAATCGCTGCAAACTACATACATCCATTTAACTGACTGCTGCCAATCCTAGGATAGCTCCAGCTTGGGTCTGACTTAGAAGGTAAGTATCCTGAAGTATCCGTCCTTCTAAAGCCTTGCCTGGTAAACTCTGGTCTCTTACCACACTGCTTTCCTGATGTATATTACGAGCAGCTTTGTTTTATATTCAATCCCTGTCCAAACAACAAATGTCAGTCTACTATTACAACTATAATGTTGACTCTGATATACAGCTTTCACATTGAGGTCACAAGTTATAAACAAACATGTATATACTAGATAGACGTTGACTGTAACTACATCAGCTTGAACTGTCTCTGAGCACACTCACTTGTACAATAAAGACAAAGTCTCAGTTTCACTTTCTTTTTTCTCCCCAAATCACCACAATGATCAATATTTCTGCCACTAAGGAGGTGATTTGGGAAATGTGTGCTTTGGAGAAGCCAGGCTTGCTCTCTGGTGATCTTGTCAACTTACCGGGACTTTCCTGAGGTCTTCACTGCTTGTTGGATTCACATGAAAACTAAGTAATAAAGCATAAAATAAAGGTTAAATGTGGCACAGTCTGTACAGTAAGAAACAAAACCAGAAACATTTTAGGCCACACTGCAACATGTCTGTCTAAAGTCCTAGCTTAGGTAAGTGAGATTCAATTAAAAATGTAGAAAGCAAAACAGTATTTACTTAACATCCTTAAAGCATTTGCAGGTTTAAACCATCAAAGAAAATCCTCCAGTTATCAGAATCAAAGAATCATCAATCTTAAATACATAGTTTCTAAATATCTTTAAGCATAGTGACTTTACCAGCAAGTTTCTTCATAAAAAGAGTTCTTATAATATATTCCTCATCTTATATAGACATACCCTCAACCCTTTTGATATGTTACTGTGGAAAGCTAAGGAAATTTAGGTTTGGAAAGATTATAAAATAAAAGAACTCAGGCACCCGTTGTTTAAAATGTCAAACTGTCAAACTGTATTGGAAAAATTAACTTTCAAACCTTACCTTGTCAATGAGAATGAGTCCACAGTGGCAGAAACTATTTCTGTCATTAATGTGATTCTAAGTATCTAGCTCCCAAAACTTAGAAACAGACCAAAACAAAAGAGATCTTGTTCATTTGGAGACATCACAGCAGAATGCCACAGCCACTTTCTCCTTTGAAATATGCCCATTAGGAAGGAGACTGCAACCACCCCAGAGAAGCTCAACTTCAAAGCCATCTGACGAGTAAATATTTCATCAGTGCTCTTCCACTTTAAATTGTACCCAGCATCTAAGACACTTATCTCCAGAACAGCTACAAAGCAATTAATGTCCTAGGAGTCTTTTTATTCCACATACACATATTAAAAAGAAGACTTAACTATAAGACATATTTTCCATTATCTGCATACTACATTTAAAAAAAAAACAGATTCCTCTGAAGACTTAAGGAATTCGCTTTTAAAACCTTGACTGTGTGACAGAAAGTGTGGACACTGGAAATCTTGTCTGGAACACATCCCTAATTATAGGTCATGTTCCACATGGCAAACCCTAAAAGGCATGATGCTTGCAGGACCACAGCAAGAAAATTTCCTATGTAGCCATGGTACACTTGTTATGGTACATGGTACACTCAGGTTTGCACATCCAGATCATAAGAACTGGGTGTGGACCTTTCCCTGGAAGAGAGCCTGTGGAAGCATTTTAACATTGCAGTGAGGCTGAGTGACCAGGCAGACAACCATAAGACATGGACTGAGCCCCTGCAGTGTACCACTGACAGGCTTTCGTGGCTGCTACATTTCCCCATCCCTGTATGTCACCATCTGCATGGTGTTCTGCAAGGACCTTTAATAGTGTCATAGAATCATGCACGCCTCAAAACCCTGACAAGAAATGAAACAATAAGAACAAACCTACAGTGCTGTACTGTGGTAGCAACTACTGATAAGTAGTTTCTTGCTTTCTCCAGTTCTCAATCTAAGCTAGTGGAATGAAGGGGCCAGTGAGAGTAGTGTCTCCTTGCTCCATGACCTTATACATGCTTCCTGATAAGCAGAACACTGCACTATACCCATATCCACTGGTGGACAGTCCCATGGGTATCATTGCTTACACTCAGGGGTACCAGAGAAAGGGTCAAGGGCTCTGGAGCTGTGGCTTTACCCCTGAACCTGCTGCTTTGTGACCTTGAACAAGTTACTTTGACTGTATCTTGGTTCCTTCACCTGTAAAACCATGATGGTAAAAGTGTCTCTCAAACAAGACTGCTATGAAGAGAACATGAATGGACTAACTCAGAAAACAAAGAGCAGAAAGAACACGCTCCGTGCATGATTTCATGAATGTCTCAAACTCTTTCTCAAAATTAACTGTTATTTTCCTGCCAATTAAGAGGGCAATGTTGTACCATATTCTATCTTCCATAACTTCATTTTAAAAATAAGGGAAAGTAGGCAACGGGTATGAGTCCTTCCACTGCTGACTGGTGGAATCTGGCTCCGAGATCTGTCCTAGCTGGGATACCAGCCCTATGCCTTTGTGAGTGCTGACTAGACTGCCAAAGCCTCACACAGGCATTTTGGATTAAATGGCCAATTTCACTTCATCATGGGATAAAGCCTCATTCACAGGATGGAGGGGTAGGGTATCCTAAAATTCTTAGAGCAAGTGTGGGAAAGTCATGTTCTCTCCTTGAAGAAGGCCTGTTTTGTGGGAAAAGCAGGACTGACAGAGAGGCTTGGCTGTCTAGAAGAGGGCTCTGTGGAGACTTGGGGAGAGCAATGTGTGCTAGACAGTGCCATCACTACAGGACCTTGGAGCACAAACTGCAGGGGTAAGATGCTCCTGAAGGGTTCTAAGGCCAAACTCAAGGACCTCAGACCTTATCCATGAAGCAGTAAGTGCATGTTTCCCAACAATATTAGTCTCCTCTCAATAAGATAGCAATTATCCACATTTGAGGCTCTGCTCTACTCTGTTCTACTCCAAGAATAAAAGACCATGACTGTATCTAGTCAATGGTCTGTCTCAGGCAGAAATCAGTGAACTGAGAAATAACAGAAGCATGGGCATTATATTATCAAAAGGATTTTTAAGGAACACATTTAGATCACAGATTTTTATCAAAAATCACAAACCAATATGCAGTGTTGAGTAATTTTTGCTCAGGAAGCTAAAATGAAACTCAAGGACCCGAGAAAGGGCTGAAAATACTGTAAGGGCTAAAAGGGCGAGGTACTCAGGGCAGCAGCCCAGTCCTACCTCTGTACCTGAGCATGTACATGGGTGTGAGCTTGTCTGTGAGCTGAGGTCCCCATTCTACACCATGTGCTGAGAAGGCTCCCACATTGGTATTGTCTGAAATCCAAAGGCTGAGCCCTCCATTGTGGTCTGCTTTGTATACACACACTGACGTGTCAAACACATGACCAACTCAGTCATTCATGGCTGCCTTTTTTTTTTAATCTGTCCTTACATGGGAGAAAAAAGAGTTAACTGAACTGGATTGAATTAGTGTGATGCAAAATAAAATGTCTCTATTTATTGAAGTGTGGCACCAATTTGTGATATCTGTTTCTTTGGACTGGTGTCCTCATGTCAGACAAGATATTGAATAATACAGTTTGACTGCTCAACTGAGCTGCTGACAAGTTAAGGATTTCAATCAGGTAGAAAATAAACCTGGATATGTTCATGATGAAGAGGAAGTCTATATGAACTAAACTCCAGAATTGAAGTTTAATTTTAGAAAAAGACTTGAGGAAGTCTGAAGGAGCCACAGGATCCTAAAGTACTTTTTAAACAGATAAAGTATTTTAACTCATATTAAGCATATGAGTTAATAACATATTTTAAATGGATAAAATGTTTTAAGGTTAACATAATCAAGTTTTCAGGTAAAAGCATCAATTTTTTATCTGCAAATTCATTTTAAAATTCTGAAAAATGATCTTTTAGAGTAAGTTAGAGTAAGGAGTAAATAAATAATTGAGTAGAAACTGAAGTCTGTGTTATACTAGCCTTCCACACATAGGCACTAAAAATAAACCTGTCCATATGAAGTAAAGGACAGTTGTTACAGTGGTGATTTAGGCTTCTGGTGGTACTCAAAATGTTTCCTTCTTAAAGCAAACACATTCTTTAAAGCAGGAAGCCCTAAGAAAGGGGAAGAACTATTCAGAATGTTAAAGCATGAAGCACTTGTAAAGACAACAGAACACCTGAGAACAAAGGTCTATTATAAGCAGATACAACTATGTAACCTCCAGGCTTCAGGATGGGAAACCTTCCAAGCAAGAGGCTATCACTTGCATGGACCACTCTTTCCAAAGCTTAGGGAGCATCTCATACTTCCTACTCTCTTTCTAAACACCATCACTGCTCAAATGACAAAGTCTACTTTGTCCTACAGCTTTCTGCATTTTACATTTAATATGTGAATCCAAATTATTGACAACTCCACAGATGTGACACCTGGCAGGAAGAGGAGAGCAGTTTCTTTAGACACTGGTCAGTATCTTACTATGTGAATGAAGCAAGTGTAACTCTAAACTACCAAAGGAGAACTTCTAACAGCAATTACTTTCCAAGGTCAGCATCCTATTGATCCTGTCCTTTAAGTGAAGGGAAAAAACTCTAGGGACCCAAGCTTCCCTCAGTGGCAAGGGTGGGTGGGAAGAGGTACTACAAGAAGCCGTCATGCATCATTAAATCTTTAACATGTATAAGAATATGAGAGAAGCATGCTTCACAGTATTGGACTGGTATATCCTGGAGAGCAGAATACGGACACCAGCCCTCACAGCAAAAGGAAATTATTCTTCCACACTCTGTAATCCCCACACTCCCAACATTGCTTCTTTGATGACAAACTTCTTTTACCAGGGCAATTGCCTCACTTTCCAATCTCTCCTTCGATTTCACCAATGGCAACTCTTTCTTTTTGAGACTTTTTTTTTCTGTTCAGCATGCCAGCCTGTTTCCACCCACACTCCCAATGCCCCTTTCATTGCCACCTTCCTCTTTCTGTCCTTTTGTGGGAAATGCCAGCTACTTCCTAGGAATGTGGCCAGACCTCTCTTTACTCTGCCTCGATGGCTTCACATTTCCTGCTACTTTAGCTGCTGCCACATTATGGATGAATGACTGAAATCTTTTTCTCTACAAACACAACTTCTTTATCCTCTAGAATACTGGGCTTACAAATGTCTTGCTATAGATTCAGAACAAGAACCCTACCTGCACCTCAAGGTTAATGTGCCTAAACTATCTACCTCTTTGCCTTTTTCATCAACTGTCTCCTGGGCACCCAAAGTGAAACAGTGTTTAGCTGGCAAGTCCCATAAATCCATCCTCCTTGGGACTCTCAGCCTAGATCACATCTCCTTGCTGCTCACGTGTGCTACCTTTCTGATCATAGGAATATAATCACACCTCTGTTCACCCCATCTTACCAAATCTAGCCAAGGCTCTGTTGGCAATGGTGGTATCTCAGATGCAAGTCTAACTTCATGACTTAGCTGTCAGAACCTCTGGCTTGGATATTCTGCTTGAATAATGATAAATTCTTTAGCCAAAGTTTCAATCCCACCACATTTTATTCAGCTATCTTTCCAGTACTCAGTGCCCAAGTACAAGCCACCTAACTATTCAAAATTTCATATTTTTAACTTTCAAAAAATTAACATTAGAAGAACAATAAAAGAAATTAGCATGACTGTTTTATACAGCAAACTGAAGCTCAACAGCTGCCTTTTCTGAATCTGGTCTCACCCCAGGGCTTCCCATGCCTCTTTGCTGGAAGCCACTTGAAGGAATCATATCTCATTAACCTTTCCAGCCTTACCTCTGCCACGGTGTCTAAGGCATGGTAGGAACATAAAATGTGGATGCTGAATGACTTTTTAACAATTTGTAAGAGCCAGGATGGTTGGCTGAGTAAATCAATGGTAAGACAATACAATGTCCGCCAACAAGACAGCAAGTCCCCAAGGTACAAAGAAAACCCTTTTCCTAAATAACAAAAGTTACTTATGTTCATATCTGCGAGGATACTAGTAGACTGTTTTCAGTTCTTTTTAAGATGGGAAGATATATTCCGGCATTTACAGCTATGTCCTGGTTGGCTTTTGTCAACACAAGCTAGAGTCATCTGATAACAGAAAACCTCTACTGAGAAAATGCTGAATAAGACTGTCCTGTAAGCAAGCCTGTGGGGCATCTTCTCGATGAATGCGCATCTTGGAGGCCTGCTCACTGTAGGTGGTGCTGCCTTCTGGGCAGGTGGTCCTGGGGTGTATAAGAAAGCAGGCTGAGTAAGCCACAGGGAGCAAGTCAGTAAGCAGCATCCTTTCCATGGCTTCATTTCCTGCCTTCAGGTTCCTACCCTGAGTTCTTGCCCAGCCTTCCCCTTCTGGGGAACTATGAGCTCTTTGCTAATAAACCCTTTCCTCTCCAAAATGCTTTTGGTTATGGTCTCTATCACAGAAAAAAAAAGGTAAACCAAGACAAACTGTTAATGAAAGTTTAAATAAGTTCCAAATTAATGGACTTTCAATAAAATTAACTGGTTGGCTTACGAGCACACAACCTGCCACCACTTTACTATCTGACCACACTACAAACCAACAGAAGAACCCCCGGTAAATTCTAAAGAGCTACTCCTGTGCTTCTTATTTCATGCTCCTGAATGGTTTCACACTAAAGGAGTTCTTAAAAATTGTTAATGATCCTCTTCCCAAAGCTCAAAAACAATTTTTAATTGAAGTAGTCAACGAGATTCTTTAGTAAGCACATTTTAATTATAATTATGTCTGTTACACAGGCAAATAAACCTGAGGAGACAAGATGAAACAGTATTTTTATTTCTTTCTTTTTAGGAAAAAAGCAAGCAATATCGGACTAAGTCAAATTAATGACAGAACAGCACCAGGAACTACATGCTCTCTCCTGGGACTGGGCACACCCAACCCTCCAGTGACAAAACAGAACTAAAGCAGAAGTGTCTGTGGGGAGTAACAGCAATCTGCTTATTAATATTCTCATGAGGTATCTTTTAGGAGATCTCAGAGGCAAGACAATTAAAAACCGTGGTCAGTAACACCAAAGGTCATGGACAGCAAATCTAGACCAGCAGCGTTTCTATAATGAATACTAGCTGCTGCTGCAGGAAGGCCTAGAGCATGAGGACTTGTAGATATCTGCCAAAGAAAGGCAGGCTTCGAAAACTTAATAGTCAATCAAATTTATTAACCATTTTCTCCTGCTGAAGAAAGCACTTGGAATTATTTTATGTCTTTAAAATGTCTGTACAACAGTTCACTGATTCCTACATAAGCCCGTGGAGGCCAAACCCCACTCCTTTAAAGCTAAGCCTCTCAAACGTTTTTTCTCTTAAGTACCCTTAATACACGAGAAGAATAAATCCAGCAACACACTCACAACTTCGCTGACATGTCAAGATGAACTTGAAAATTTCAGGCATTTTACTTCATAATTCTATCATGCCTCGCTTGATGTAAGACAATTTTTCTGTCACTGAGGAAACTGTATTGCTTATTTCTGTGCTCTGAGGAGACCTTGGCCTGCCACTGCTAGTGCCACATATCCACTAGTAGTGGTGGCTGTGGGAGGGAAAGTAGTCCCTTTAGTTCAGAAGCAAAACAGAATTAGGATGGAGTGAGGAAAGCAAGGTACCAACACCGCTCACCGGACTGGTACACTATCTCCACCTGCCTATGAAGTCAAGGGCAGTCCAGCCTCCCTAAGCTTCCTGACACTCTGGGGAAGTTTGAAGAAAATCTGAACTCCTGAGGAGGAGCAGGAGGAAGTATCTGCCATCCTCTAAACCAGATTAACAAGGCCACACCACTCTTGGCTAAGACACGACAAGTCATATCTGAAGAAAGGCTGTGGTACCCCCTGGTTTCCAGGAAGGCTTCAGGTGTCAAGAACAACATGCAGGGAAGGTGTTTGACCATAAGCACTCAAGGCTGCAGCCATCTCTGCAAAGCCCTCAAGAAGGGCTGTCATTAGCAGTGAATCCTCAGAGCCCCTTCCTTGATGACAAAGCACAGCTGTGGGAGCAACAGAGTTCTACATGCCAAGCTCCCAGGCCGTGAAGCCCAGCCCTTAAAGCATGCACAGTGACCAAGTTTGCATCAGCAAGTTTGTAGAACTCCATGTCTGCCAGAAAAGAATACAAGGTTTTGCATGAAAAAACACTCTTTGCCCCTACAGACATACGAATAATCTCACTAGAAATTATACATTATTCTATCCCACTCAGATTTTCCTAAATGTTTCTTCATTCAGAAAATGGTTAAAACACTCGTTCCCACCAGTTCAAAGACTACAGCTATAACCAATGCTGACATCTAAAGTTTCTTATGCTACAGTAACTTTCCCACAGCTTGGCTCCTCTAAGTTTTATAAGGAAAACTATACTACACCACACAATGTTGCTTTTTTTGGGAGTGGGGGTTGCTTTTTCCAGAATCTAACACTGCACTTGAAATGTGGCCTCACTGGAACTTTGGAGTTTCTGTGTTTCTTCCTACTCAGGTCCAGGTGGCAAACTCCTGAGTTTTCCTAAATAGGATCTGGGTACCTCCTCCTGTGCTGAAGAATCCCCGCTCTCTAGAGAACTGGGTGCTAAAGTCAAACCCTGACATGCCAAATTCCCAGTAAGCCAGGCCCATGCCACCACCACCTCCAATCGCTGACAGTTTTAGACACACTGGGTCCCTGAGAGTCCTTTAAAGCATTTACCCTTCACCAGATCCCTTCCCCCATCTCTTTTCATACATCTATCCATTGAGGCTGTTCATTCCCCCTTTCCATCATCCCCAGACTGACTAACTGCTCATTTACACTTCTGCACTTGTTATTTTCACACAGGGTCTTGCTATGCAGACTCAACTGGCCTTGAACTCACGATCCTCCTGTTTCTATCTCCTGAACACTGGGATAAGACATGCACAGCACAGCCTCATCTCACCTGTGATTTTATTTCCAATAACACTTCCCAACTGTCCCATGCATTAGGACAATTCCACACTTTGAATCTACCTGCCGACAGCCTTACAGACAGACTTCGCCTCATGTAGCCTTTGTCTCTCAGTAGCAGTCTCCTGTATGAGAGAGAACCATCATAGCCAAGTAAGAGCAACAATCTTCCTTCATCCAGTGTGAAAACAAGCACCTTTCTTTTGGAACTCTGGTAGTCTAAATGAGCAGGCCCAAGAAAATAACCTTTTAAGATCCTACTGATTCCTATAAAATGACCACAATATAAGCATATTTAACATTCAGATTCTCATTTTATATGTTTTCTGTTTGATGAGAAATGCTTATTATTTCTAAAAGCACAACAATAACAAAACATAAAAAATATAACCACCACTACACTAGTCAGATGAAGGAGTTTTGAGTCCTGAAACTCTATGAGCAGTGTAAGGGGACACACTGGAGCTTCCACGGATTTTCTAAAGCAGGGCTCTTCTCAAAAGCAACTCTGAAATGTTGCAAGTTCTCAATAAATGTCTTTTATCCTTCTCATTATGACAGCTGGAGCTGCCTTCTTTAATAAACTCTAGTATTTCTTTCAAGTAGAGCTTATACTCTACTTGGAGTATCTCCATCTAATATAGTTAGCACAATCATTCAGTGTTCTGTAGATGCTGTGTAGTGAGATCATAGCCAGAGTGACCATCTCTAGTTATGTGTCCAGCACTGCCCTCCACACTTCCTGTGCCCTGTTAGTCTCTTCCCCATCCAGTTACCCTATTTCACAGTGAAAGGCTAACACACAAGGCCCTGCAGCTTTTTACCAAATATGTAAATAAACCCAAACCTGACTTACAATTCTGAACTGGTACCTATCCCATATTCCCTTCAAAGTGTTCTATTTTCATAGTGCATTGTGAAATCCTTTGCAGAAGAATCAAATATAACCCTGAATCAAAATGTAAATCACATTCAGTGTGATTTTCATTTTTCATAGCTTTAGACAATTCATTTCTTTGAAGATAAAGAAAGATATGAAAAACCATATTTCTTATGTCTCTGATAAACAAAATACATGACTGTCTGGACACTCTCCTCCTATACCAAGCTCCCTAACAAAGTGTCCATGGTGCTGAAAGCTGAGCTGCTGCACCGATTAAGTGGAGCACTGGTAGCCTGCAGTAGCAAACCTGCTTCCTCAGGAACCTACCCGGCAGCAAATGACAGACATGAAACACAGCTCCTGACTCTAGCTGGAGAAGAAATGGTGAGATTGCTCAGTTTTTAATAAAGAACTAATAATTTAATAGTATAAAAACCACTATTTAGAAACTATTCCTTTGAAATCTATCAAATAACTTTTTTTTCCTGTTTGCTTTACTCATTTAGTTGTTTTTGAGACAGGGCCTCATTATGTGGCAAAGGATGGCCTTGAACTCATGATCTTGGTGCCTCAGCATCTTGAGTGCTGGAATTACAGGTGTGTACCACCACACATAGCTCTCTAAATACTTTCTATATGGTCTTCATTACTGTGTACTAAAATGGATATGTCTATCAACTAATTTCCCAACTTATAAAGTCCATGTTCAGTGGTCAAGATCAAGGCCAAAGACATTTGCCTTGAAGAAACCTTTCCCTAATTTTCAGTACACTGAACTGCTCCTTTCTCTACCTTTCCATGGCAAATTTCCTGTACTTCTATAGGGCATGCTCTATTCTCTATTTGTAACAGGTCATTTCTTCCATGACCCTCCCAATTATCTTAGCCATGTAAATAATGCCCTCAAACCTCCACTCCTTGCCTTAGTGAAGTTTTACACAAGCCTGTGAAACCACACAGAAAATCTGGGGACATAAACTTTAAGAAAACCAAGCATGTTCAAGCATCAGCTATTTAAATGGTATTAGCTCCTTCATCAGAATAATTTCCAAATGTAAAATAAGTATATAAAGCACATTAAAACATCATTCAACATCTAATAAAAATTTAGCTATTTATTCATAATTATTTAATAACATTATACTCAAATTAATCCAAAGAGGAATAATTCATCTTTAAACAGTAAGTTCAAAGACATCTATGTCATATGCTCAGATCCTAATATTTCAATGGAGTAAGTGAATATGGTAACAATTTTTGGTCTATTTTATACATCACCATTAGATATTTAGATAATCTGGCTACAGTAGTTACTACCACAAATACATAATACATAAATACATTGCCTGCATTTCAAAAAGGAAAGTGTTATCATCAATAAAATGAAAGCAGTATCAGGTGATGCAGTCACAGAGCCCAGCTGGAAATGTCCCAGGCACAGAAAACAGAAGCCTACAGAGGAGGTGTGCACAAAAATAAATGAGGGCTATAGGTGTAAGAAGCAAGGTTATTCCCACAGTGAAAGACTCATGGGAGATTAAGAAGGGCAAGATTTGGAAAAGCCAGGACCACTGGAGAGAAATGTGTATAATCATTATAACGATAAGATGAAAACACTTTAAATGCACAAATCTTTAAAGTTACTGAAATTTGCATTCTTGTGTTCAAAGAAGCCAAAGATTATTCAAGTGTTGGAAAACAAACTTGCAAGAGCTGTTAAATGTTTTCATACTAGCTTGCTAGTTTTAATTCAAAACACACAGTCCCTATTCTTGAAAAAGACAAAGAAACACCACCTTGTGATAAAAAAAAAAAAACTAAAACTAAAACCTCAAACCTCTCCATCAAGATTAACACCCTAAGTCTGATTCAGAAACCATATACCTTACATTCTTCTATGAAACAAAACAGTTTCAAAAATGCTCTATCTTGTCAAATTTAAGACACACCATGGCCTGGAGAGTCAATTCAGATGGTAAAGTACTTGCCACCCAAGCATGAGGACCTGAGTTCTGATCTCCAGCACACTCATAACAGAGGGGCACCGTCCCAGAATATGCACCTGTAACCCCAGCACTAGGAAGGCAGAGACGGGATCACTAGGGGTTGCTGGCAAGCTAGTATAGCCAAATTGGCAAGCTCTAGGTTCAGTGAAAGACCCTGACGCACGCACGCGCACACACACACACACACACACACACACACACACACGCACGCACGCACGCACGCACGCACGCACGTGCGTACACACACACACACACACACACACACACACACACACAAGACATCATGGTCTTTGGCTTCTACACTTGAGATTCATCCTTACATGGGTTCCTTTTCTCCTCTTACCAATCCTTTGCCATTGTCTCACTCAAAGGCAGGAGAATGCTCGGAAGTGTTTCTCAGAAGGCACTCCCTTCCTCTCCACCCAAAGCACCACAATGTTCACAGCGTCCTAACTGACTAGTCATCCTCAGCCTTAGTCATCCCCTTCCCATTATTTCCCCACAGGCACTCCATGTTAGCTCTGGACTAAGACATTAATTCTATCCTATCACATCCCACCTTAAAATGCTCTAGAAGCCTAAGCACATTCAATTTATGCAGGGAGACATAGCAGGAAGCCAAGAGCTCATCTCAACCACAAGCACAAAGCAGAGAAAACGAAGTGGGAATAAAGCAAGGCCTAAAGCTTTTCAAATCCCACCCCTGGTTACATACTTCCTCCAATAAGCCCTCACCTCCTAACTTCTCCAAACAATGTCACCAATTAAAGACCAAGTATTCAAGTATCTTGGCTAATGGGATATATTCTCATTTAAACCACCATACTCTCTCATGTGGAAAATACTGAAAAGAAATAATAAAAATATCATTTTATTATCAGAGTTGAAATTCAGAAACATATTCATCTTGATGGCCTACAGGAGCCATCCTGAGACAGGTCATGTAACATCAGAAACTCATTAGATTTTAACCTTTGCAGGCACATTCTAGCTTTTGACATTGAGACATGATGTCATCTATAAAGGTTGTGCTCAAGAACCACATAGTTAAAACTCACTCAGCCTAAATGACCTGTGGCCACTAGTTGAGACACACCTACCAAATACAACATGTTTGTAATAAAATGCTTACCTGGGAGTTTTCTGAATTAAATCTACAGACACCAATATCAAAGTTACATGGAAATAACCAGGTCAACTGGAAACAGCGTCTCTCAAACATGAAGGTGCAAGAGAGCTGAGTGAAGGAACCCAGGCCAGAATGTCAAAACCAACTGTCCCCACTGTGGTCTCCTCTCTCGCCAAAAGCCTGACTGTTTTAAAGTCATCAGAGGAGCAAGATAATCTAGAATAGGCAGTTTTAGACAAGAGGACACAAGTGAAAAACACACTCAACCAATGATGTTTAAAACAATTAAGAAACATACAATGTATGTCCTTCTGACAGACTTTCCTCTAACTATACAGTTCAGTGCCCACCATTAAAAAAGATCATCCACCTCCATCTAGGAAGCTCTTCTGCTTCTTGATTTTACAAAGAAGTAATTCTCTCAAATATTATCTTCAACCAAAAAGCTTATGTATTGATTTATGAAAATTAGCATGCTGGGGTCATTGGAATGTAATCTTAATACTTTCCTGTTGGAAAGCTCCAGAGGATGTACAGGCTCTTGCTTGCATTTGGTCATATCATAACGACCTGCTCTCTTTAACTATTGGACTCACCACGTGTTATCCTGTGTCCAGTGCCTAAGAGCTCGTTAATTACCTAAACTATATCTCCATAGGTCTTGTTAATTACCCGTCTCCTGTCTCGGAGGACCTTGTTAATAACTTGTACAGTCTCTCTAAAGAGGTCCTAACAACACATTAAAATTAAAGATGCTTTTCTTTTAGCACCTGTCAAGTGCTGTAAATTGAGAAATTTTCACATCAGTTTATTAGCCTACAGTAGTTTTCATGGGGGTTCGTAGTGTGTTTGCTTCCTTTTCTCTCACACATAATCTCTCTGTATCTTAATCTCTCATCTTAAAAAAATAAAGAAGGAAAACTTAGCAAAGTTTGTCCTTTTTGTTACAGATTTTCTTTTGTTTTAAATTTTAAAGACCATAAATATCAATTTGCATTAAAGAGTTAGGAAAAGGATGGCATGGATGGTATCTGCAAATTAACCCAATGGGAGATGCGCCAATTAATGAGACCCATTATAATGAGTATTAGGATGACAAAGGGTAAAAAAGTTTCAAGTCATCTCTGGGGAGTCACACATAAGTTCCAGTCAGTGCTGTGGGAACTAATCACACCCTTGCCTCTCACTCCCAGTCACTATTACATGGGAAACCCTGCAAATCCCTGGCCACTAATGGATTAAGAGCTCTCTCTCAAAAAAAAAAAAATCATCCAAAGTTGACATTCTCAGTCTCATCAACGAGACTGCAAGTTTTCAGACTCAGAAACGACAGACAGACTAATAGGCAAGCCATCTTCATACAAGTACGAACAAAGAGTAAAACCTTACACACAGTAACGTTTACAATGCTAAGGACTGCTTTAAATTCTCTCTCTCTCTCTCTCTCTCTCTCTCTCTCTCTCTCTCTCTCTCTCACACACACACACACACACACACACATACACACACACACACACAAAATGTCCATAGAAGACATTGGAAAGGAAGATGTAACAACTATGAATAAGATATTTTCTTTAGGATCACTTGTTTATTTTTTCAAGTAAAAAAAATGTAACCTTACAATAATAGTCCATTTTTATAGGCATGTTACAGCTTCCTGATAATGGCTACATGCAACAGTTTATAGTAATTCTTGGTCTGTGGAAGTTAGACACATTTAAACATATATTCTGGGTTTCTAATTTTTTGTAGTTCCTAAGAATGATGTGACACAATCACAAACAGGAAATGACCAGTTAAGGGGTTAAGTAAAGAAGAGAGTAAGGAATGGAGAACTACCCGATCACAAAAGGAAAAGGTATACTGTCAATTAAAATGGCAAAACATTAGTGATAAATATGTCTTCATCTTAGATACTATTTCTATACTTTCCTAAAAAATATTTGGTTTGAGCTCACTGGCAAGGAAGGACATGGGAACGCTAGGAAGGCTCTTTGATGACCAAATACAAGTAAAATACACCACCTAATAAAATGAAAAATCCCAGAAATAAATATAAAGCTCACTACCAAGTTATCGTACAGCAACTGAGCAAGCACTACTGGTACTCAGGGTTGCACCAAAGCAAAGAAGGAAGGAGACATGGTTTCTGTGCCAGTCACAGACGGACCTACGTTTCCAAGACAAACACAAAATGCCTTGCATTATAATTGCTCTCTGACTTCATTAGCTCTTCACATGAAGCAGATTTTTATTATTTGCATTTTTAAAAGCTCAAAGTACCATCCTGGTAGCATAGGTCCATAACCACGGCTACTCTGGAAGCTGAGGCAGGAATGTCATAACTGCAAGGTCAGCCCAGCCTGAAGGAAGCGTAAGGCCACCCTGAGTAACTTAATGAGACCCTGTCTCAAAGTAAAAAGTAAAAAGGAGGTCAGTAGTGGAGTACTGGCCTAGGATATAAGAGACAAAAGTGGGTTTGGTTGTTTGTTTGTATGCTTGTTTGTTCATTAAAGTAAGACAGGAAGTAACTTTCTCCACGTAGTTAAAGAATTCCCAAAACTAGATAGAGGTCTGACATTTTTCAGACCTCCTTAGGAAAACACACATCATGAGGTATACACATCATCTCCTCAATTGACTAAGTATGCTTTTGAGTCACTGATCACAACTTCACAACTGATGCCCGGTTTCATCTGTATCCTGACAAACAGTTCTCCCCATGTCTCCCCTTGTCTTCAATGCTCACTACAGCTCAGGTGCCTCTTACCTATTTCAACACATGGAATCTCCTCTTTGTCTGTGGATCTGTTTTAGCCAACCTGTGTTCTCTGCTGTTCTCCATCTCAGGTAGGGTCCATTCAAATCTGAGTTTATCAGCTCAACTCCTGACTCCCAGCTGTCAAAACTAAATATGTATGACTAGAGGGATACAATTTAGACCAGACTGGTCATCAGTGGGAAGTTTTTAAAACACTGATTTTCCTCCAAGGCATACTGATGAAAAGATTCATACTTCACATGAAAGGAGGTCCAGCAAACTATAGTTTTAAAAACAAAATGAAACAGGAGCCAATGCTGATAAGCACTAGCCCAGGTGAGAGGAGGCTAGGGTTGGGGGTAGTTTACAAGACTGGCATGACACTCAAGAGAACATCCTAAGACCCAGACACAAGCACCTGTTGGCAATTCCAACTTCTCTATCTGAATAAATCCAAAGGAGAGGAAACACCAGGATTCTACTTAGAAGATCATGAGTTCTTAGCATTGCAGAAAGAAGGGTTTGTGACACTCCTTCCTGCCCGAGTCCAAGAAAGGAATGCATATGGCTGACAGCATTCTTGGGGTAGAGGTAGAGAAGTCTTGTAAGGAAATGAACTTCCTAAGATAAGTAGGGAGGTTCAGCAAAAAGAAAAGTCAAGTAGGAAGAAAAGGCTACAGTATGATAAATCTTAACATTTACAAAGTATTTGGAGTTGCTGTTTGGATCCACACTTCTTAAGCATTTCTGACCTGAGTTTTCTTAAACAGAACAGAAAGCATTTTGACCCACTGCTCACTTAGATATATAATGGTAAATGTGACTCCATGAGAACATCTTAGCGACTTAATTCTGGGAGCATCTGACTTTCAAAGTCCAAGTGGTTGTTTCAGGTCTCCTGCCCTTCTGGGATCCAGGCTGATCTCCACTCAGCTAGTATGGATGTCAACATACTATTTCTGGAAAAGGTCAAAGAATAAAGTCCAGTGTGATAGTGCATACCTGTAATTCCAACAATGAAGAGGTGCTTGAGGCCAGCATGGACTGCATAGTGAAAGCATGGAGGTTAAAAAAAAAAAAAAAAAGGCCAAAGGATAAATATTGGTTCTGCAGGTCATACGTTTCTGACACATATTATTCAACTCATTCATTCTTGCACCAAACATCCACACAAAGATGAAGATGGTTGTAATCCAACAAAATGTCATTTACAGAAACAGTCAACAAGGCAGAGGTGATCACAAGGCCTCTTTGGTCAGTTCCTAGTCTAGGTGAGGAATCGACAATGGGGGCAAGCAGAAAACTGCAGAGAGGGAAGCTGATGTGCTATGCAACTCTCATACCACCTCTGTACAGAGTCAGAACAATTACATGCTCGACCGTAGAAAACACAACAAACTGTGGCTATGGAAGCACTCAGGTTCAATCTCAATGCTTGGAAGGTTGAAGAAAGAGGAGCTCAAATCCAGCCCATCCTGTAATACACAGTGAGACTAGGTCTGAAAAACAACATTGATTGGGTGAACATATCTGCCCATTTCCACTCTTCTGATCATTTATAATCTAAATAATTTAAATTATTTATAATTTAAAAAACAATTATGTAAACAACCTTTAAAAAATCCTAACTCTGAAGGGATATCTGCTTTTGTAAAAATGATGTTTTTGCTGATACAAAAAGCACTGCTTTACAATTAAGAAGACATAACACAAATTCGTATTTAAATCTGTTGATACAAAAATTTATCAATACTTTCCTCGGAGTTTTGCCAATAAAAGGCAAGAGGAACAATTCTGAAGCACAAACAATACCATCTGACATTTTTCTAAAAGTGACACGAATTCTAACTATAATTTCATGCTCATGAGCAGTGGAAGATTGACCGATTCTAAGTGCTAGATGGCATCTAGAATCTCAGTGGAAAATGAACTGGTGCCTTTCACCTACACTATGCTATATACTAAACCAACTCCATTTTCCTCTGGGCATATAGCTAAACCCAATTTCTTAACAGTGTGCTGTATGGATGGGACCTGACTAAACTCTGGACAAAGGGCCATATGCAGACTCATGACTCCAGTCCTAGCTCATGACAACATACTATGACGGATGATCCCCACCTCTCACTGTGTGCCTCACTGATGCTTGAAGGGAAAAAACAATGGTGGCATTACAAGAAGGAAGAAGCCTAGCTCCAGAGAAACTTTGTAGGGGCTGAGAGACCCCATGGAGCACTTATTTATTCCATTCTCCTAAGAATGTCCTACAGAAAGTCATTGAGATCTGGAGTTACTGCAGTTGATAACCTAGCCTACCTACCATATATACACTAGAAATGTCTGCTCATGTCATAAATCTTAAATATTAGTGTAAATCTCAGCTTCTTAAATTAATGCTGTGGACTTAACCCAGGACCTCGTACACACCAGGCAAATGCTCTTACCAATGAAAAGCTACATCTTTGCTCATTTATTTAAACTTTTCAATTATGAAATAAAATTTCATTGAGTTGCCCAGGATGCCTCAACCTCCCTAGTGCTAGGCTACCAGGTGTTTGTTGACACACCTGCTTACTCTCTTAGATTTTAAATAGTGTTTATGTAAAATATGTATATATCAACCTTCTTGGATCCATTTTCAGTCTATTAGAAAGATCTCCACAGCTCACTCTGCACTGGAAGCAGGAGACAGTCAGAATGAAAAGAACATTTCTAGTACCTGTTTTGCTCTATGTTCAAAATCTCTACTGTGGACTGGAGATTAAGGTAAAAAAGATGAATGAAATGCAGGCCCTGCCCTTCAATTACTCATGACAGTGGAAGGAAAAGTGACTAAGCTACTCCTTCAGAAGGTTAGACTGTATCAGAAAACTCTGAGCTCTGGAAGCCACTATTTCCTTCTAGCAGTGTGGTTAAGGCTTCAAAGAACCAGAGGAAGTCACTAGGAAGAACACTGAAAGAGTGAAAATCAGGGAGGAACCTTGCACTATGCTGAATCAGATCAGCATGCAGCCTGACTAATTTCCTCATCAGATTTCCACAAGGCTATAGGAACAATTTCAAGACACAAAATGAAGTGGAGTTTGTGGTTTCCAATGTGGTTTTTCCTCAGGCAGATGTAACATACACAAAAACTAAAAACTTTAACTTCTAAATATTATGTTCTTAGTTACTGAGATGGAAGGACATAAAGAAAATTCTCTAGGTCTAGTCACATGCTTAATCACTTAGAGGACATTGATATAGTTCCAATGCTCCTGCAATCCTAGGCATGTCAGTTCACACACCAGTTTTATGACAATTCATTGTGCTTTCAATTGACTCAGTAATCTCAAAATTATGGGTCACAAAAGTCCAGGAGATCTCTAAGTAAGTCTTACTTAACATACTGTCTTCAAAAGCCCTGGTCTGGATGTTGTTTGATCCAGCTGAGGGATGATACTGGAGGAGAGGAATTCTAGACACTATGCCGGCAATATCCTCTCAAATTCCACCCACGCTAAAACTGCTGGCTGGGACCTCGGAACTGCAGCCTTTTTATTCAGTCCATTTCTATCCAACTGTTTGCACTTTAACTGGAGCCACCCATGAACTACAAATGTTTTAATTTACCAGAAAGACGGCTTGTGACACAGAAAAACAAACTTCCAGGAATGTAATTTTGTCCTCATACCTATAGCCTCATAAACACAAAGAAAAATGTCTTAATTTAAAGAAAGAAAAAAATCTACTCTTATATAGTTGCAATCACAGAATGTATAATACAGCCCTAATTTTGATAAAAGTACTGTTAATATTAAAGTAGAGCAATAGGAAGCTGAAATCTACTGAAGACCATCTTCCCTATTAAAGTCCATGGCAGCCCAAGGCATGAAAGACTTGAGGATACTTACTTTTTTCATATGATAGCATAATTTTTAAATATTATTTTCCAACTAGGTCCCCTTTTCTTGCTTTTCACTGACTCTAAAATTACCTGGATTAGCCAATCTCTAAATTATTTTGAACAATTGTATTCAATAATCCCTTCAAAAATTAAAAATGTTCAGAAAGTGGGTAGGGCATACTCCTATTTACGCCTGTATTTAGGATTTGATGAAAAATGAAGGAGACTACACTAATATCAGCACGTTAGAGCAGGACATCCACACTGAACTCTGCAATGGACTACTAATACCACAAAACAAAAAACTGTTTCTCTGAAGTATAGTCTATAAACATAAAGAATGAAATTTTTTTCTAAAATCATAGCAAATCCCCATCTAATAAATTAAAATAAAACAAACTAACAAAAAAAAATGAGCACTTCCCTCTGAACTTGGCTGATGATGCTCCATCTTCTGTTTATAGTGGAACAGAACAAAAGTACTAATCTTAAAGAAAATAATACAGACAATACATCAAACGAGATAGAGGTCACCTGCCCCTTACTGAAAACTTCTGGGACCCAACATGCTTTAGAGTTTGGTTTGGGGAGATTTTAGAATCTACATAGACTTTACATACAAAAAGCCCAAATCTGAAATGTTCCAAATCTGAAATTTAAGAGTTCCATCCATGATGAAAACATTAATACTGATGCCATATTTCTACATAACAGTGGATCAGGTTTCAAATTAAGGATGCTCAGGCTGAAGCAGTGACCATCTATTGGTTCTCTATTTGGTGCCTGGCTTTGTACTTATGTAATTTATGCATTATTTACCCTCATTGAATCCTACAAAGTATTTTTCTCTTTGCCTCAAAAGATGTAGATGCTGATATCTACAGACGTCATAGTACTACAAAGCAAGGACTCTCACTCAGGCCTATATATTTACTACATGTTACACCTGGAGGAAAAGCTTCCATTATGTAGCAAACACTCTGCCTCTACTACGCTCTTCCACAATTACTTAAAAGTTTCAAGGCCATCTTCCTCTTTGCTTGAGGTTCCTTAATCAGACCCTCCATCACTCATATCTGCAGAACCCATGACTTTAAGATGCAGTGGAGTAAGCAGCAGTACATATGGAAAGACCCAGGACATTCAAACTTTAATATTTATCAGCTGATTATACCTATGGCTACTTGTCATGCCAAGGCTCTGGTTAGTGTATTCACAGTACCCACAAGGGTCACCAGAGTCCAGAAAACATTCATGAATAAAAGCTATTTCTGATCAGCCATTTCATAGGGACAGTTAACATCTATTACGACAATATTAATACTCCAGCCAGTGTTTGCTAAAGAACAGCATGTTGACTGCTATTGGCCCACTAACCTTCTCCAGGCAGCCTATGATTTACTCCCTGGGAAGTACCTAGAAACACATCTCCGGATTGAATTCATACCCATGGTTTATTCACTCTCACTGGGTCTCATCAAAAGTCTTGCTGTTTTCTCCAAGAACTATCTATGGTGGCTTCCAGGCTCCCATAGGTAGGAGAAGACTAGGATAAGAGGAAGAAGCCTTTGTCCTTCCAAGGCAAAACATCCAATTCCAAGGACACATGCAAGCAACAATGTTTAGGTCTATGATGAATTGTTAGATAAAAATTAAGTTAAAAAAATAAAATGAATATAAAATATTCATGCATCTAAAAAAAATATTTATTGCTTTCAAGTACAAGGTTCCCCAAATGGTACACACTCCTCCTTGGTGAGCTTACCTTGAAGATGACATTATAGTTGAAGCCCTGAATTTTGCTGTAAACGGATTGGTTGACTCATAATCAAAATAGTCCTGCCGATTTTCATTAAACGCACTAGGTGATTTCAAGTCACAGGGGCTATCAGATCCCCCATTGTTAAGCTTCTCAGATCGTCTGCTATCTTTCTTCCCGGTCACTCTTTCAAAGAGGCTCACTTTCTCTCTTTTCTCTCTCTTATTTTCTTTCCTTACTTCAACTGGTTTTGAAAATAAATTCATGCTGCTGTCCCATGACTCACTGCTTTCTTCAAATGGATTCTTCTTCCTTGGCAGTGTTGCAAATTTTTGGGGTAATGAAGCAGTCACATTTGTAAATGGGTCACTCTGTCTTCCAAAAGAGGGTTCGCCTTCATCCACAATGCTGCCAGGTTGGTTCAATTTAGAAGTATCAAAGCTTAGTGTTCTTCTGTGTGGAGATTTGAGACTTCCTACAAACATTTTTTTTCATTAGTAGGTGATGGATGACATATGCTATTACACTATCTGACACATTCTGCTGCTTCAGAATGAGAGCAATTAGCTAAAGATATTAACCCTCAAAATAATCAAAACAATCTTAAAATTAGGTGAGGGATATTATGAAGTAGATGTGCTAAGAATGGTGTATTGTGAGAAAATTAATATCTTACTGGCTTAGAAACCACCACACGAGAAAAGTATAAGGTCAACCCAAAGGACCTGCTGTCAAAACTTTTCCATGACTAGAATCAAATTTACTTTCCTCTGGAGATAGACGTACTTTCTAGGACCACTTGGATGGGATGGGATATATGCTGCAGGTCTGTTGGTACGGTTTGGTTTTTGGTGTGCATGTGGATGTCTGTGGAGGCCATAAGTCAACCTTTACTGCCATTCTTCACACCCATCTTGTCTTCTGAGACAGGATCTCTCTCACTGGTAAGGAATGTGTCCAGTAGTCTAGGTTGGCCGGCCTGAGAGCCCTAGGGCTCCACCTGTCTCCACCTCTTAGACACAAGATTAAAGCTGCACCACCACCTGCCTTGCTTTTTGAATGTGGGTTCTGGAGACTGAACTCAGGTTCTCATGCTTTCAAGGTAAGCACTTTAACATCCTAGCCCTGCTGCAAGCTTTTGAGAAGGAGAAATGACCGGGGGGGGGGGGGGGGCATGAGAGAAGACTGGGATTCATTTCATTATCACCTATAATATAAATACAAATACATAAAATACAGGGGAGGATAAACAGAAATGAGTGCCACTTACCACTTTCTGGAACAATTCCAAAGGAATCTATCTGGCGACTGAGAAGATGTGTTGGACCTACAGCACTGGACTTCAGTTTTTCAGAAGGTAAGTGGGACCCAGTTAAATCAGACATTGAATGGGCAGAAGAGAGCCGCTGAGGACCCAAAAGAAAAGGCTTTTTTGGTTTGGATTTCATCTGTATTTCACTGCTTGAAAATTCAGTATTGGCATCGGGCATGTGCGTGCTTGGAATGATTGCAGAAGATGTATCAGAAAATGTCCCGTCATTTTTTCTCCCTTTCATCTTATCTTTTAATTTTGCAAAAGGCGATCTTGTCTTATCCTTCATTGACAAGTCAAACATACTTGCTGTCATATTGTTTCTCATAAACTGAATATTGACCTTTATCTCACCCCTGTTTTTGATTCTCTTTCCTTGTTTGGATTCTAATCTAAACCACCTTCAAGAGAAGAGAAAAAGTTGGTTGTAACATATAATTGTAACAGCAAGCTTTGTTATATCCAGGTAGCTTTTTAAGTAAAGTGACCACCCACAAATTTCTAGTTTAACTCATTGTTTAAGAAGAAAACAAATCAAACAAACAAACTGGTCCTAGATTCTGTAGAGTGACACACACCAAAGGAATGAATCTTTGGAGTATGTAAAGGGTTTTAGATAAACTTTCCCCTCATAATTCAAAAATCATCATCAAAAATTCTTATCAACAACAGCTAATTATGTTTCCATATGGGACAAGTGTTACTAATGGCCTAAGGATATGTTTAACATTCAAAGACACCGAGCCAGGAACTTATAATGCATCACTTTCAATTATTTCTGAGTACCATAAAATGACAAATAATGATGACATTTAAATAAAATACTTAACCCCTATCCTAATTTATAGATTTATAGTAAAAGAATTTTATTAACAATGGGGATAGTACATAGTGTGCTAATCATTAAAACTCCAATATTCATATAAAATGAATCTAAGACTTTTCCTACATAAAATATGAAAAATGAATAAAATGTAAGAAGTGATAAACAATAAATCTTGTGAAGTTTTCAAAGAATAAAAAGATCAAGTATTTCCTGCCAGAAGCTATTGACTCTGTGGAGTAAAAAGGACTATAGAAACAAAGCCAGACCCCAGCCTTCAGGAACGTTTTGCATCAAGCTGCCAATTTTGAAGTGAACTATATAAGAAGCAGAGCCTATTTTGATTTTGTTTACAGTATTTTTATCCTTAAGGAATCTTCCCAGTTGTTAGTGTCACTCGTGGTCACTCTACATGGTGAACAGCCTCAACCTACAGTATGCTGCCCCAATGTTTTCACATCATTTAACGACAGAGTCTGAGCCCCATTCTGAAGACATGCTGTTATTTAAATATAGCTCTAGTAAATGCAATGAATTTTATTATGAAGCAACTCTGACCTAATTTTATACTACTTTTTTCTTCTTGTTTGCCAACAGGATAGCTAAAAGATAGCTGAATTTAGTATACATCAAGCCAAAGACTGGCACACAGGCAGAACAGAGATCCCAACATACAACCTGTATCAGCTCCATGATGGTGCTGTGCTTCCTTAATGGACTGGAATGATTCAATCAATTAAGACATACCATACTGCCAAACATGCCAAAACGAGCAGTTTCTTACAACAGAACAGTTTATAATAGAATGCATTACTCTAAGAAGCTGAAAAAGTTATACAATGATAACATCTAAACAGGACTGGGAATAAGAAATGGCAGCAATGAACTGTAGGGTGGAGGACACCAAACAATACGAACATGAATTCTCAGAACACCTCCAAATGAGGCAAAGCTGTACACTCCAGAATTAACTTAGGGTTTTGGAAAAGAGAGCCATTCTCAGTGGTCTGAGAAATGCTTCTGATGGATGATATCTGAGAAATACTCTAAAACCTCAGACTATATGAAAAATGAGGGAATGCTCTTTATAAGAACGTTACCCACCCACCCACCCCCAAAAAACAAGCAACAAAAACATGTATGTGGAGTTTATAACAACTTGATGAAACCCAAGTCGAGGACAGTATCAATGCTCACCAAAAAGGAAGGGGGAAGGTGGTCAAAATTCAGAGTTTTTGAAATAAGAACAAATTAATTTATCTACTTTAACACTCTCACTCCGGTGATACAGAAACTGAGGCAAGAAGAATGGCAGCCATTTCCCCAAGTCAGATAGAAGCCAATAAGGAAAACATCTAAAGCTGATGAAAAACATCTGCAGAAAATACAAGCTAGTCCTTATTTGATGAAGCGCATGTGTTAATAAGGTTAACCACATGGCTGCCACACGTTACAGAACACTGTATTTAACCAGAAAGCATGGGGGCGGGGTCTTTCCTCCAAGAGTGCTAGCTTCTTGAAGACAGCTTGCTTTACACTAAAAATTCACTCTACTTTTTATTTCTAGAACCATCTTCATAAAATCAACAAGATTCAACCCCAAACATGCATGTCTTGTACCATTTTTGTTGTAGCAGGAAACTCTAAACACCTATGCAAGCTTTAAAGAATAAAACAACAATGCATTTGAATACAAATGTAAATACAATGGATTTTTTCCTTTCTCCCCCTATAAAAACAAAACAACAAAAACAAAACAAACCCCTGCAAAGAACTCTGATAAACACACTGATTTAAAGAGATGCCTGACAAGTAACTTTAGCTATTCTGTTTTGAAACTGATCTTAATGAGAACTTCAAGAATCCTGAAATAGTGTTTGTTTTCCCAGGCTTCAAAGGGACAAATGAAGACACAGAACTTGGGAGTTGCTGGATTAATGCCTATTCTTTTCCACCTCTGGAGTGCTGGGTTGAAATGGTATATGGCTTCTGTTCAATTTTCAGTGGGCACAGGTCCATGTCCAAAACTACCACACATGTGGGAATGATTCCCAAGCAATCGGTACTGTGTGGTCAGAAATGGGACAAGACTGGCAATAAGGAGGCCAGAGGCCAGAAGGCAGGTGCAAGGCAGATACACACACACACACACACACACACACACACACACACACACACACACACACACACTAAAATCTACGTATGTGCAAATCACACCTAGTTCTAAATACTCTGATTATTATTGATTTTGAGAGCATTAAGAAAAAAAAATGGACATCACCTACTTGAGTTATTAAAAAAAATCAATGGATATTTCATAACAGCATCAATGATTTTCCCATTCTATTATTAAACATTGTGTTTTTTCCTTAAATCTCATGCCAGAACCAACCCAGACACCTATTAAAAGAAGGCAAATTCGAAAGTTCTCTGTCTGCTCAAAGGATTTGGCTCAGGCCCTTCCCCCTACTCCCCTTCCTTAACATATAATATATATATAATAATACATATATATTAAAAATTAAGTTAAAATAATAATTTTGAGCACGATACTTTTTGCCTCTCATGACACAACTGGAAGACAAGATGTAAACACTTGTCTTTTCACTGTCAAAAAGTACAAAGTGTCACACCCAGCAGTTCCATGGGACATCTCAATCAGCTGGCAGCCTTCACCACTCATTCCACTTTTCCAAAAAGCACTTGGGAATACGCTGACAAGGTTTAGCAATGTGCAGAATATTAAATACCTTTCTTTTAATACACTGGTGGCTCAAATCTGTCTCTTACTGTGCCACATGTGCAGCTGGGCTGGAAAAGGAAGCTATTAAATATATTAAAAATCTAGAAATATTACCAATAAAGATACCTCATCAAATACACAGTTCCCATTTAGTCACCCACACAAAATATTAAGGGTTTAATACCATATGAAAATCCCTTTGTATGCAGTAACATCACAAGCTCTGTTGAGAGCATTTCAAAGCATCTCCCCTCCAAAAGCTCTCCTTGGTTTTATAGACAGACTACGATATTAGAGATTGTTCATGGTCTAGTTTATTGTAACTGCGAAGCTGCCAAAGATGGAAATAAAACAAGAAATTTTAAAAGGCTATTTCGTTCTCAGGATCTTTGTATACACACTTGGGCCTACTTAAATTTGGAGAATTTAAATTTGAGAAGTCTGTAGTATATTATCATTAATATTAAAAGTACTGTTTAAAGCAAGGTAAGAAATCTGAAGCTGTAGATACTTAAAAGCTCACAGTCAAAACACTTTACAGGTTATATACTAAATCACCCCAAACTGACAATTTGGGACAAATTATTTGGTTATTATCCATTTTTCATTTTAAATCCCATGAAGAACCCTTCAGAAGAAAGTAAATGCTACTTGTAAATATCAAAAAGTTTAAAATCATTAAGTACAAAATTCAAACTTTTTCTTCTCTCCTCATTGAATATTTACGTTTTGTTCTTCTTTTATGTCTAATATTTTATCTTACATACACTAAATCTTAAAGACTTGATTCAAACAAAACAAAAACAATTCCTATTAAGTGAAGTTTGCTGGCAGGTTTTACAAGAAAAAAATGATCATTATTTTTAAAATGTAAGAAATTAACATGAACTTAAAATTATCACTGTAAAAAAGTGCTCTAGAGGGTAGATAAACCTGCATCAGGACCAGGAAAAAAAAATGGGAAAAGTGAAGTCCTCTGATGACTTCCATCCACCCTCCTTTCATAAAACTCCAGCATCTCAATGAGCCTTCGGACAAAAAAGCACCTTAAGTTAAAGGATGGAGCAGGAGACCCACCTTGCCAAGCACGCTACTTGTTTAGACTTAGGGCATAATATCCTAGTGTTGATTTGTATTTTGGTTTCTTAAATTAAGTATATCTAACTCAGGCTTGAACGTTCTGTTTCAAAAGCCATGTTTTCATTGAAGAAGTCATTAAATCACTGCATCACAAGACTTTAATCACTGTCTCCAATCTTACAGTAGTTAATTCGGTCTGAACACACCAGCTTTGGTGAACTGATTCTTCAGTAAACAATAGCTCCACTATACTGCAAATTCAAAGGGAAAATGTCAGTGGGTTCAAGACTGGAGATGTTTGTGCAGACTTCCAAAACTTTTTTTTTCTTTTAACAACTTTCTACTCTATGAAGAAGTACTGACCCTGAAAACTGGTGGAGCAAAAATAAAGGCCAACTGTTTACAATGCTGAAATACAGAGTTCTCAAATCAGTGATTTACTTTTTGACAGCCCTTATTGGTAATTTATCTTTTAACAGTGCTCAGAAAACGTAAACCATTACATGCATAGATTTAATTTTCTGATTTTCTAGTTCATGCCCTAGGCCTCTTACAAAAAGTATCTTAAAATCCGCTGCCGTATACTCCACTGCTTAAGAGCTGTTTACCTCACAGAAATGAGAAAAACCACGGATCACTAATAACTCATTTTTAAAAAATCATTTCATAGCAAAGGCTATTTTTCTTCAAAGTCATATGCAAACAGAAGTGCTTAAAACTGGGTCTTATTTCAATCCCAAATGCCAATGCCTCAGATATATTATGTTCAAGAACAGCAAATCCATATACATTTAAGCGCCCAATATTTAAAATAAATTATATAACTTACTCTGTTTTCCTCCTTTGTTTGTCCTCAAAGATGTCATTGAGATTGATTGCCACCTGCCCTAAAAACTTATCCAGTCCCACTAGGGACCTGTGCATCACTATAAGAAAAAGAATGTATTTCTCTGGATTGCCCTGCATGAGCAACCCAGGCAGCTCAAAGGAGGCCTCCTCCTTCCAGACAGGCTCCAGTGTTTTCTCTGCTACAGATGTAGAGTACTTTTCTTTGCCCAACTGAATTATGGTGTAGGTGTCATTGGTGCCACTTTTGCCTTTTGGCTTCAGATCTTTAGCTTGGAGCACTGTGACCTGCACGTGGGTTGGAAACCACTTTTGGGCTTGCTCGGACAACATCATTCTGGGATTTTGTTTTGTTACGTTTTTCGGGTTTTGTTGTTTCTTTCTTTTTTTTTTTTTTTTTTTTTTTTTTTCCTCTGCACAGAGTTCGGAAGCGCAGGCAGTGCCCCTCCCGCAGGGAGAGCCCTATTCCCTGATCACTGCATCCTTAAGGGCACTTGA